AATTAGACTTTTTAGAATAATGGTCAGGTCACTGAACTGGAATCTGGTCTTCAAGGCGGATCACAAAAAAATCCTCATGGCTCGAGCTTTGAGGAAGAGGATATTGATGGTGATATCCCTTCTCTTTCCCCTCCACCCTGTCTTCCTTGTCTTCCTTCTCCCCTCTTTTGTCTGCTTCCTTCCTTGTTTTTTAATGTGTTTTGCTCTGTGGCTGTTGAATATCTATCATTCTTTATTATGGTTCTAATGATTTACCAGAAAGTTAATTAACTTTCACTAGAAAATCACTAGAAACACCCTTTTGATTACCTGTGTTCACCTGTTTCTTCCCACTGGTAGGCAAGGCAAACACTTCAGATGACACCTTTTGTTTTAGGCTTTTTTAGAGTAAGGTATTGCGTAGCTATTAAGATGTGAACTGCAAATGTTATTATGTTTTACATTTACCTGGATCATCATATTTATCACTCCAGACCTTTATGTGGAGAAAAACATGCGAACGTGTCTTGACAGGAATGGCTTGTGCAAGGACAGTGACTTTGATTAGGAGTAGTGTCAAGCAAAACTGAAATGATCATGCATGGGTGGCAAACTTTACTGACTAACTTAATGGACTAGCTAATCATGAGCCTCTGTTCTGTTCCTGCTAAATGTTCCCCGTTTACACTACAATGGTGAGCGACAATAAGATGTCCTAAAGCAATTAGATGTTTCACTTAGGGAGGAGTGACAAAAATTACGGTAGCATATATATCCTCTGCATCTCGAAGTACACACAGACACTACTACTGCTGCAAGAAACACAAGTGCATCTTTCAAATAAAGCTAGAAGGAATGGATCAATCCACAGGAGTAGCACAAGTACTTCTCAGGAGAGGAAGGAAGAAAAGTGCATATATGACAACACCCCTGTGCAGCAAAAATGTGCAAACATCATCAAATAGTCATCATTATGTCCAGGTTTCTGTCTCAATAAACTTTACTTTTATATTATTTTCCGATTGCTTTTTTTCCATGCACATGTTGATTTTTTTCTGTTCCATAAGGAATGTGTTCTACATTTGTACATAGTAACCATATTTTACACAAAATGACCACACATGTTTTCCATTATTGCATTTTGCAAATCAGCAATACATGCACTGTAGGCATTACTATTAATAATATCTCTTTACTGACAATTTACATAATTACAAGAGTGGTTGAACATTGGCTAAAAATTAGATAAATCTGTTGCTTGCAATAGTTACATACTGAACACTTAAGACAAAGTTGTCATATTTTATGTACTTTTTACGTGTGTAGCCTCACTAACAAAATGCATGCCTTTATGGTCAATGTGACATGCTGTGGAATCTTTCCATGTCTCCTTCAGTATCTGCCAGTGGTACCTGACAGATATTGTCCACACTCGCCTAGTTAAATTAGGAGTGACTTATATACAGTATGTTCTCCATTTAAAAAAAATCAAGTTAAAAAACTTTAAATACTGTATACTATAAGAGTGTATTGTGTTTTTTCTTTACCTTCAGTGTGGTTACTGTCTCTCTTAACAGTTAATAAATAAATTACAGATGTGTATTCTGAACACTGTTCAAAATACAGTGAATCCTTATCCTTAAAATCAGCAGAATTGTATGCCCTGAGGATTGTGTTGAGAAATAGCCTCCAAGATGTTTTTTTTTTAATGCAAATGTATGGCTTTGCGAGCAAATGTTAATGAACCCACACCTCAGAACCCGTTCCAACCACTGTTGCTAACACTAGTGCTGCAATTCTTTGCAGAGTATGGTTCCAAAGAGAGACTGAAGTGCAAATAAAGTTGTCTCTCAAATTTAAGCCTGGTAGTCAAACTCTAAGACATTTGCAGTAGCATAAAGGCCTTTTGATCAAAATCTAGCCTCTTGTTAAGGGTGTTCATAGTTTCAAAGATCTGATTTTGATCTGTTCAAAGTATTTAATAAAAGCAATAGAACTTTCTAGGTTTTGAGCAAAAATGTGTTTCATTTTCATGTATATGGGTTGCATTATGAAAGCTCGCCAGCAAAATTTAATATGTGGATTTGAATTACTATGATATTTCCTACTTGGATTCTTAAAGGGATTCTCATCTGGAGACTGGACAAAACTTTGAACAGCTAAGAGCTGATATCAGCTACAGAAATGGTTTTCTGGGCTTTGAATCCCTAGAGACCTTGCACCTTATATAAGTATAGATATTTTTCCAATACTTGTCAAGAACTTGTAATTAATTGTCTAGTATGTAATAAAATCTTATTGATATTTAAGCCTGTGATGCTTATACTGTGCTAGACATATCACTGGAATCCACTAGTTTTTGTAGCATTTTTCTGAATGCATCAAGTTTGTTTCATATTTATTGAATCTACATGATCCCAAGTCATTTTTTGTCTGTCAAAATCTCATCTACACTGTCAGTCCAAAATGGATTAAGTCTCACAATTACAACAGCTCTCCTATAATTCAGGATTTTGTCTTTATTCTTTAAAAGATGGCAAAGCCTAGTAAATCCACCGGACAGTATGTATTGGACAGTACTGTCTTCTAATAGAAATCGTTGCATCATTATTCAGAAATCGGTATTGAGAAGGATGACACTTCCATTTCAAACTCAAGATTATTCATGATCACATTGTGTAGCTGTTTGAATGTTATTTTCAGAGAAGTAAAGTATTTCACTTAAGGTTTCAGCTTTGTTACTGGTCCATTAATAAAAGCTCGTTATATTGTGTTGGAGTTTTATGGCTAATAATTTGTGTGGGTGGATGAAGCACTTATTAGTAGAATTTAAGTCTGTAAAACCTGGACATCCAATTAATGTTTATAAAATACCATGTGAATGTGTGCTGTAATTTAAAGTACATTTTTGCAAGTGTACAATATTTACTGCATGTATATTGAGTATTAGTGGAATAACAAACGTTAATATATTCCTTGCACTGCTTATCTTTGGTCCAACTACAAATTCTGGTGTTCAGTAGAAAAGCTTTCTGGATTTCTTACATCCTATATACTTGCTCTCCCTACCTAGAATTTATGTACCATGTTAATTTATAACTTTGTATATGGAACACTGTGTGCCTAAAATGTTTCCAGCAGTGTGATACATTGTGGTTAGTTGACTGAAGGATTTTCCCCAACTAAGGTGTTTTATAAATCTGTAGACGGCAGTAGAACCCTTGAAGTTCATGCGTACAAGAAATCAGTGTGTTAATTTAAATGTTTTCCAGCCAAAGACAAAACCAGTGTCTAGCATCTGTTTGTTAAACTGGTCTCGTGTTCTAGCCAGAGTGGACTATAGAGATGGAGATTAATGGTAACAACATTCACTCAGACAGTCTTCTGAGGTGATGCAGATCTTTAAATGGGTTAATGTTTAAAGTTCAACTGGTATTTCTATAAAATATTTTTGTTTGATTTCCATTTTATCATGCTTTAAGGTCAAACTTGACTTTAATGTTCCACAAAGAGACAGAGATTGATAATTAGGAAAGAATAGCTTTCTAATGTGATTTATACCTATGGATTTTCTGTCAGATATGAAAAGTTGCTGCTCAAATTGGAGAGGAGGATCCATTACAAAGCACTTTGGAGTGTTTACTGCTAACTTTGGAGAACAGATGTCTATTTCTATGTATTCTTACAAGAAAACTGTACGTCTTAATCCATTGCTTAGTTATATTCTAAATTGAATTATGAAAATTTAAGAAAAGTTATGATGCCACAGAGTTTTAACATATTCAAAATAATCTTCCTTTTCTTTACATAGTTGTTGTACTGTCTATATGCTCATTTCATTTCAATTTCAGGTTAAAAATGAATGTCAGGTTTGAAAGTTTAGCTTAATCTGTAGTTTCCATTTCCATTTGATGAAAACATGCACCGTGTATATTAATAATTATACATATTCTATTGAGTATTTCATTTGTGATTTGGTTGATACAATTGCCTCTGCTTACAGGACAGTTTTCCTTAGCATATGGTATAATGTGTTTTCAGTGTTGAGTGTGTTGTAGTGTATGGATTTGGCTTTTTGAATATCTACCAGTAATTTTATGTTTTGACCACAGAAGTAAGTGTACTAGGAGGTCTAATTAGATTGGACAAAATGCACATTTCTCAAAGATCCTGGTTTGGTTACTTTCAGCCTCCCTCAGTTATCTGGGTTCACAGATTTAGAATTTTCATAAGAATTTCTCATCTCTTATGATGAGAAAACCTTTATTGTGTTTAGATGTAATGTTTGATATTTTTCCACAATTGTATTTGTACACTGTATTTTTGCACTCCAGATGCTGTCATCTTTTAAATACATTTATGTTTTTTATATACACATACAATAGGTATTTACAGAACTATAGCTTGCCTTGTATTGCTCTACTAATTACTGCATTAGCCCACATTGTTCTGCATTTAATGATTTACTCAGAAATACTGTAGACAGATTTTTCATGAAGGAAACCTGCCTTGCTAAGCATTCGTTCTTCTGCGATAATTCTCATTGTGGGTTTTCTCATTTTTAGCCTGTGGCCATTAGAAAATGTGTATCCAGTATTATTAATCACTATGGCTAGAGCACATCATTGACCCCACAATTACATTAGTTTGAAGTCTGTCTAGAATTTCTGCACATGGAGTGCAACCCCTTGTGTACAAACTGATTACTCCATGATCAAAATGATGCACTGATCTTACGATTATATTAATGCTATGCGGCCTTGTATACATCCTTGTATGTGATTGTATACAACATAAGGGGACAAATTGTGATAAAGCAGTTTGTACTGTGATGTCTCTTTTTGAAATTAGAGGACTACAAAGGTAAAGCTATTACACCACTGAAGGTTTAGGTAGGTTTTCTTCAAAGACACTTAGGCTTGGGTATGCTGTATATGGACAATAGAAGATTCCAGCAACTTTTGCACTCTCTTTTCTGTTTTGGGGAATTCCGATATATTCGTATGTATTTTTTTTAACAGTCACTGTGTGCCCAGTATGCTGCAGAGAAGCGAGATGAAGAGAAGATGTGTGATCATTTAATAAGAGCAGCCAAATATCGGGACCATGTGACAGCGACCCAGCTGATCCAGAAGATCATCAACATCCTGACGGACAAGCACGGGGCCTGGGGAAACTCCTCTCTCAGGTAACGTGCACTCTTCTCTTGTGTTCCAGAGGCAGGCTGTGGGGTTTTGCCAGTTTATGTCACACAACGTGCCTTATATAATATTAAAGCAACCTTACCTGTTATGCGCATGTTCCTGTTATTTCAGCTTTCCTGTTTGTTTTGTTTCCATTTGTATCTGTGTGATGTTTTGACTGATGGTACGTTTTACAGTTTAAATAGTTAAATGTGGTTCCAGGCATCTTTTCTGATGATAAAGAACATCGTGAAATCGTATGCTATAAATTTTTCAGAATCTGTAGGCAATGTTTTATAGATCTTAGTGCTGAACTTGTTTTTTTCACATTATTCTGAACACAACTGATGATTATTGAAAGCAATAATGTTACTTTTTAATCTGTCTCATGATATAATTGTATGTCGAATGGTATTGCACTATCACTGGCTGCTTGAAACGAAGTTCAAGTGACTCGGTATATACTAGTGGGGTTATCAGGAACACAACACTCATCAAACAGCAAGCTCCCTTTATTCAAAAAAGGTTAATTCTCTCAACTGCTTTCTCGTTTGTGGCTGGTTTCTATTCTGCGGGGACATGAAATGTGATTATTTTTATAACAAGTTTAATTACTGGCCTAATCAAATTCCTGCCAGCAGAAGACCTTTTGCACACGAGTGTCTCTAATGTGTTTTGTTTGCAAATGTATAAGGGAACACGGGTGACTATTAGACTGTTGGTGTTATTGAGGAGTGCCCCCCCTTTGGGTGACATGAGGTGACGCAGTTTAAACGTTGTAAGAAACACTGTTTTGAACAGTGTTTGCACTGCCAAGTGGCACATGCCAAGTGGCCATGGTCTTGCAGAATTAGTCTGTGTTTGTTCTGGTAATTGTAGTAAGTCTATATTTATTATGCTATATGTTCTGATATTAGCATCTAGTTTGAGATGTACAATGGCAATGTACGAAGCCTTTGTGGTAGTCTGATGCATTCAAATAAGTCCTAGACCTTTTCTCGGCTAACAGTATTTTTTTCCTTTTAACCACCTTGAATAATATTCATTTTGCTAAACCTGCAGTTAAACCCCAAAACATTTTTCTAAATGAAGTATGCTCATTGGAGCAGTTATCATGAAAGCAGACTCCTTAGAGCCCTTTTACCTTGTTATGCTACATTTAATCTCTTGAGATTTAGTTATTTGGTTTGTGGTATTTTTAGAGGTATTTTCCCCTTTTTTCGTCCTTATGCACTTGCACAAGGCCATGTAATTTGCTGTGAGACCTAGCTCTAAAGCTCCAATACTTTCCCATTAATGTCATTTATTTTGTTTTGATATTGATGGCTTTCCTAATGCCATGCGATCAGCGGGCTCCAATGCTGGCAGACAGCCTGGGATCGGCAGTGGTTTTAATAAATCACAATCAGACCTGTGCCATTACATCAATATTTTTCGTCAATTACTGAGAAGGTCAGGTGCTGCATTCAGCAATGGAGCCCCAGCATGTGGCATTTGAGAAACATCTGGTACTGCAACATAACTGCAAACAAGGGAGGAAGAGAGGAGGGGAGAGACTGGGAGTTAAGAGACAGAGAGAAAAGCACACACACAAATCCAATTTTTTTTCATCAGACAAAAATGAAATCTGCGACTGCAAGGACATCAGCGCAATGATTACGACCTTTTGTGAAGGTGTAAAATTTGCAAGCCCTTGTAGCGTTTCATAAAGACATATTCCCCAAAGTTTCCATTCAATAAAATCTGAAAATGAAAATATTATTTTCTCAGAAGCTGATGGGAATTGTTGTTTCCTCACAGCAGGCATCTAATATCTTTTGACATCCAGTGACCTGCCTGAATGCAATTTGTGTCTTAATATCCAGCTTACACCAGCTTTTGCCTCCAGAGAGTTGAGGTGTTAGGTGCTTTTTTATTTTTTTCCTCTCTATCCTTTCCATTGGATTGTAAAAAGTCCTGGGGGTTCTTTCTGGCAAACAAAGGAAACATTTCCTCTCGCAGTCCTCTGATAACAGCATGCCCTTTACTGTCACTGCCTTTTTCCAAATGCTGCATGATTGGAGGAAATGCCAGGGACAGCCATGAGTACCTGTTCTTCCATACATTACTGTCACCTAGAGTTGAGGCTCAGGTGAAAACAAAAATTATCTGATCAAAAAAAAAACGAATAGTAAAGAACGTGTCCACAAATGAGCCGAGTGGCAGAAGTAATTTTTTTTTTGGGGGGGTGAATACATACACTGCAGAGCAGGCATTGTGTTTATTTGGGTCAGGAGACAAATCATCTTTCATGTATATGACACCTGGTAAAGTGGCTGAATGTAAGAAAGATGAGGAGAGATGATGGAGAGTGCTGGATTGAAGTCTCCGAGGACACACTCCCCTTTCCTCATATCGTCCTTCATTGCATTCTAATAGGCTGACTAATGTACCATGGAAATTCACTCTCAGTATTAAGAAAGGTGGCTCCTAACTTGTCAAGGGGGAAAACAGGGTATCAACACGCAATGCTGCGAGTGTAAAATAATGACAAGACGTAACGCAAATGGAGAGTTTTTTTTTTTACCACACTTCTTTCTGTAGTGGGATTTCAATATTGCAATCCCCAGTCATGTCATAAGAGACTGTTGTGCTTTTAAGTGCAGTCCTGCACCCCCTCCCTCTCCCTTTAAGCAGCTCATTTTCGGCAGCTTCAGTGTGTTCTAATGGATGCCCTTAGGCTAGAGGCTTCCCAGCCGGAGGGGCATTCATCTTTTTGTGTGTCACAGGCTTGCCTGAAAAATCTTTGTGATGCGCTCTCCAATTTTTCTTCAGTAAATCAAATCTTCCTTCTTTCAGAAAGATGAATGCTCTGAGGTTGTGGTGTTATAAAAAAAATCAATGCTGGCAAAATTGAAACAGTATGCCTCCATATTGATTGGCCTTGTGAAATCGAAACTAACAGCTTTGTAACTGTTCCAGTGGACAGTTAGCTGACCCATAATGGACAAACTATCAATATTAGCATTACTATTTTATCTTGTAGTATGTCATTTTAGAAGCAAAAAAAATGAAAGACTTGGACTGAATTTTCAGTACTTAAATGTACAGTTCGTTTCACACGTCCACCCCTTATCTGCATTTCTACCCAGACTTCGTTGATTCCAAATATTGGGAAAATTAAAACAACAGTTTTAAGGAAAAATATCAGTATTTAGGAGGCTGCTTAATAGTTTTATGTCTTTGAAAACCATTTTTGTTAAATGTTGTGCTTCTCCTACTGAATGACTATGTAAGGATTTTTAAATTTTAATATCAAGTGTTTTCTAAACATGAAACCAGAGCAAGTGTAAAGCATAGTAGGAAAGCTGAGTTTTTAAGATCTTTTTAAAGATTTCTTAATTTTCAGGGTCAGTGCTTCTGATGAATAATAACAAGTGTTATTATTTTTTAAGGCTTAGGATAATAACAAATGTGCCTAAATTGAAGTATTTGTGACTATACATTTGTCAGTCTTCACAAATACAAACTAGACTTTAAGATCAAAACTTGTCTTGATGCGATAAAGGTTCTTAATGGCCTTTGTTGCTTACTTCTTGGTTATGTCTAGATATTCTACATACAGCCAAGATGCACCAAACTGTTTGTCATTACCTGCCTTTTGAAACCTACTCTCTGCACCCTCAAGATGGAAATTAAATTTTGTTTTCCACTATGGGAACAAAGGATCTGGCTCCAAGCTCATAATTACTGTATATTAATACTGGAAAAAGAAACAAGAAAAGAAAATGTTTGCAGTTGAACCTACTTCAAATGTATCAGTTTGATTACCAACAAACCTATTAGTTTAGATTTGTGTCCTGGCACTTCAGGGGGGATATTTTGACAGTTTCTCTAGGTATACAGTAGTTTGTTCTAGCTTCTTCAGACCCTTTGGTTTTCTTTTGTGAATCACTTTTGTGAATTTGAACCTCAAATATTCAATTGGATTAAGGCTGGAAATTGAGGTAGCAGTAAAGAACATTTATTTTGTGTGCAATTAATCATTTCTTTGGTAATTTGGAATGTTGCCCTGCTGGAAATTCTGTTTTTCGCCATGCTTGATCTTCTTGGAATGAATATCCAACGGTGACAGAATTTTCCCAAATCTCACAGTGGGCGTGAATTCATTCTCAACATGAGTGTCATCTTTTTTACATCAAGGATAATACTATGAACATGATCTAAAAGCTTAATTTTCATTTTATAAGACTATGAGACATGGCTCTGTTGTCACTCAGATGTAGTTTAAATGAACTTTTATGGTTCGAGCTTTTATCTTGCTACCTGGCCATGAATACTACATTCATGCTGCCAACTCCAAATGGTGATTTTCATCATTTTCTATTTTTGAGTTGTTGGTTTTGTTGCCTCCAAAATAGATTGTCTCACGGCCTGTAGTGGAAAGACCCACTCACTGCTTCTTCCTGGCAAAGTTGTTAAGAAATGCAGTAGCATTACGTTTTTTGAATAATGGACACTGCGGTGAAAATTGGTAAATTGTATTTTGTGAATTCTTTTATAGCCATCCCTAACTTGTCAATGTCCATTTTCTTGCTGTGTTTGGAGAGCTCCCTGACCTTAACCATGATGTATGCTACTACTGAATGTCTTCTGTGTGTTACCTCCTTTTATACCCCAGGGAAATGGGAAACCTTTGTAGGCCACTAAATAAATCCTTCGGCTTGCATTGCACTTGCAAAAAGCAGAATGTTATTGTAAGTTTGTTTTTGTTGGATTTTATTTAAAGGATATCTTAGAGGTGTGAATAAATGTGACCCTAGTGTTTTTTGGAATTCGGTTAATTTTTTACAACTTTACCTCTGCTCTGTGCAATTCTACCGTGATTACTGTATAACATTTAAAAAAATATTTTAAGCAAGATGCATTATCCAGTTTATAACTTTTGGCTTATTTCATTAAGAATTTTTAAATTAATCTTGAAGGCTCTGCATTTACTTTTCCATGTGTAGTAATCTCCAGAAAT